GTAAAGGAAATCTTTGAGAAAAATCTGGGTTGATGAGCAGCTAAGAAAAGCCAGGAGAGACACATCTATATATGTTTAGGCAGAAAATAGAAAAGGTTGAAAAGCAATGTGTTTCTAAAATACTGCTTCTATGAAAGCAACCTTCTGTTACTCCTTTACTCTCCCTAGTCGACTGAAAAAGGCAGCGTGATTCCCATTTTCTATTCATGTCCTCCTAAGCTGAGGCTAGGGAATGCAGTGGCATCCTGCTTGGATGCAAGTGGCCTTGCATTCAAATCCTGCCACTTCATGAAGTGACACTGGGCAAAGCACTCACATTCTGCAGCTCCGTGTTAGCCCATGAAAAATGGGTAACAACACTGAATTTGATGGATGGGGGCAGAATTCTAAATTGTGAGATTACAATGTATGCCAGTAACTGAGCTCCTGAGGCGTGGTAACTAGTTTTTAACACAGGTCCTGTAGTTCAGAAATCAAAACAGCTTCTTTACTCAACAAGCATCTTTTGAGCATCTACTGTGGGCGGGTGACACAGATGACAAACGTGAGCAAAGGTCACAGGGTCCCTGACCTCCTGGAGCTTAGAATCTGGTGAACAGGACAGATTACTCAAACCAAAACCAAATAAATACATAATTGCCAATTGTGATAAATGCTATGAAGGGAAAATTGAGGGTGTTCAAAGAGCAAAACAGGGGATCTAGTCAGGTCAGGAAGATCTTGGGCCTGGAGGTGAAGGATGAACTAGCTGTGATGGTGACTGTGGAACAGCATGTGTGACAGGTCTGGGACTAGAAGAAGTGTCACCCTTTTCAGGAGCAGAAGAAAGGCCTAAGTAGCGAAGCATGGAAGGGAAGGCAGGGAGGGAAGATAAAGCTGGAGAATCCAGCAAGGCATCCCTGTCAGCCACAGGAGGGATCGAGAGGTTGTGGTCTTTGTCCTCTGAGGAAGAGGAAGCCACAAAACTAAAGATGTGCTCTCAGATCTGCAACGGAAATTTGCAGTTCAAACACCCACACGGCCCTCTTTCCAAATACCACCTGTGGACCCCACACCTGACTTCAGATGCGCTGCCACGTTATCATGATTGGAAGGTATTTCAAATATGCATGTATTATTCACCATTTACCACCTTGGGAAATGTGTCTGATCTGTAAGTTATTATCCCTTGGACCCCTGGTTTTCCAAAGACAGCCACAACACACATGCCCATGGTACACACCAACACACATGCCCATCTGCTCGCCTTACGATATACCCTGATGCTCCTCCACTGAGTAAGTGGTGGTATCTCTGTCCCCCCTTTTTGAACTTGGGTTGACATCTGTAACTGTCTTGGCCAAAAGAAAACAGTGGAAGTCATACCATGTGACTTTTGAGGCTCAGACAGAAAAATGCTGTGCACTTCCACTTTATCCTCTTGGAACCCAGCTGCTGTGCTATGAGGAAGTTCAAACTAAGGCACATGGAGAAGCCATATGGAGAGGCCACACACAGGTGTTCTGGTTGACAGCCCAGCTGAGGGTCCAGCCAACAGCAGGCATCGACCCCAGACATGGGAGTGATGTTGCCTCCAGATGACTGCCGACCCAGCTGTCAAGTTACCCAGCCTTTCACTCTTTCCAGCTGAGACCCCAGACATGGAGTGGAGACAAGCCATCCCTACTACACCCTGTCCAAATTCCTGACCCAAAGTATCCATGAGCAAAAAAATAAAACGGTAGTTTTACACCACTATATTTTGGGGTAATTTATTAGCAATAGTAACTGGGCAAGATATATATGTGTGTGTATATATATATAAACTTTGAACTATATATATTACATATGTATATTTCTTCCTTATTCATTATTCACCTACCCAAGAACTTTCTAGAGGGGATGTCTATAATCACTGCTGAGTTAGAACCTCTGGGCTTTTTTCATACAACTTCTGGGAAAAAGGGGGACCAGTTTCCTTACTTCAAAGAAAAATTAAACACTTTCAAACCACTCAAAACACACACAAGTAATCCATTCTCACTGCAAAAACAAGAAAAAGAGAAAGAAAACCCTCGTTAGCAAATCTGACACCTTATTTCAATTGGCTTTGAAAACCGATGGAAAATGAGATCTTTAACAGCAACAACTAAATAGAGCACCTAGGCCCCTTGCTTCCTCTCCCGCTGAAGGCTCAAGCGTCTGCAGAGCGTGTGCAAGCTTAAATAAGGCAATGCACATAAAATGTCCTTGTTTTAGCACAGTGCCTGGCACTTAAAAGCCCACAAAGTTCCAGTTACTATTACTGCTTTTGCTGCCATGAGGGTTAACCTTTGTCTTGATTCCAGCACTAACCCTTCCTTTAATAATGCTTGCGTCCCTTCTCAGCAGAAAGGACTCTATATTGGAGTTCAGTCAGATGTCCAGAAAGGGAGCTCAGATTCCATATGACCAGAAATGTTATACAACACTGTGTAACACAACTACAACACCTCTCTATCTTGCTTTGGTGAAAGGACTGTCCTCTTTATAAAAAAAGAAAAATCAGTATGTGTTAGAAAACAGGCTTCTGAGAAGTTACATTTAATCACTGCATGGCGTTCAAGGTGAATAAATAAAAATATCCCCCTTTGATCATTAGCAAGGTACCCCCCATGTGGTTATATAAATATTACAAAGCTGCACCCAGATGGTGGCATGAATACCAGGGAACAGAGGTGGGATCAAAGAGCCAGGCCACCTCAGGTTGGTTCCGCCCTCTACTCCTCAACTGCTGTGTGACCTTAAGCGAAGCACTCAGCCTCTCCCAGACACAGTGTCTTTAAAACAAGGCTAAATTCCAAACTTATTATCCATACTGAAAGGACCCTTAAGTAGAATAGCACCCAAGTGCAGGGTAAAAGTCACTATTCAAATACTTAAGTTTGCTGAATGGCAACCCCCCAAGCGAAATGATCACTTGCAGATTCACACACATTAATTAATTAGCTCAAAAAAATTAGCTCAAAAAACCTGAGCCTTGCTGAGAATCAGCTAGGTGTCATGTAATGAAATTATGAGTATCTACTTGAAGAAAAGGTGACTAGGGACAGAATTAGGACTGGCATGCCATTTGGGGGCTGGATGGCATCCCCCTTCACACTGCTAGCTTTTCACTATTACCGCCAGTTGCTGGAGTAGGGGTATTCTGAAGCCCTACATTTATGGGAGGGGAGAGAGAGGCACAAAGAATATGGGAGGAGAGAGATCAAGGGAAGGGACAGGGAAAAGAGTTGTGCTATGGAACTAAGTCCAGAGTTGGTGGCACCTGAAAAGAAATGTCACTGCTAGGAAAACCATTTCAAAATGACATTCGAGTCACCAGGTTTCAAGTTTGCAGAGTGTCTGCCACCCCCTTTCTCCCTGAACATCCCAGCTTTCCCAGGGCCCAGGCAGCCCCCTGCTATTGATGGACTTAACCGTATGGGTCAGTTCTCCATCCAGAAAAATGTCTTTTATAGCCTGACAGTGGTGGAAACTCTAGGACTCACAGAGCCTGAGCACGCAGGAAAAATGGCCGGCATGTAATTGACTTCACATGGTCCTTTCCAAAGGCGGCATCAAGTACAGACTGTCTTTACACTCATAAAAATCCGGTAGATTAAAGGGCGGTGAAAGAAAACCCTCCTCGTGAGAATCAGTCAGTAGATGCTTTTGGCAGGTCTGGCACTGCCCTCCGAGAGAGGTCCAGCTTCCCTCCCCAGCAAGCCCCCTTCCGATGTCGGCCCCCATCACCAGATAATCTGGGATTCAGGAGAAAGGGAGAGAGCTGTGGAGTCCCAACGGCTCCACTGAAGACCCAGGCGGACTTTCTCATATTACCATATATGAGGAAGTCTGTCAAGAGGTCTGTTAAGACCTGAACCAAGCCCGACCATCTGCTCTCCCCCCGGAAGCATGCAACCAGCCAATTTGGGGGAGATCCCTTTTTTATTTGATGCCACCCTTTTACCATCACTATTGAAAGGCTTTTATTCTGCACTTCCTAACGCCTTGTATCAGAGCTACAGCTATCTTAACACCAAAGCATGTATTTGTAACGGCTTTTTCTCACAACCATTTTTACGGCTGTTTTCCCACGAACTGTGCCACTTGAACGGCTAGGATATAAAACCATTTTTACAACAGTTATTCTTCCAAGTCTCTCGGTCAGTTATTTAGACAGCTGCCCCCCAGGGTCCAAACTGTTTTCAGTGGACAACTGTTCTGAGCACATTTCTCCACAAGGTCTATTTCAGCTCAAGAAAAGCCAAGGACAAAGATAAGACAAAAGTTGTGGGTAAAGGGCGGACCCACTGCAGGGCACCATGAGAGCAGTCGACAGCGTGATGGGCAGGGCAATCTAAATCATTTCTTCCAGAATTGCAAGTGCACAAAAGGGATCAGCCTTCCCAGTGAGTGGTCAGTGAAAGAGAACAAGTACATTCCTAAACCCTAGCCAGGTGGCCAACACTTTTTTTCCTACCCGAAGTTCCGGGCACCTGTTCTGGAAAAGTGGGTATGGAGCTCTGTACCTGGTACATACCGCCTGTTCTATGTGGGGAACACGGAGAATTACGTGTTCACCAGTCAACCAGCCCCCTTCGTGCCCTCAACAAGCCAAAGGTGTACAGGTGGTTACCTGCACAGGTACCGAATCTTAATCAGCACCACTTTATTGCTGGCCTGGGGGGGGGTGGGGGCTTCTTTAGGGTAACAGTCCCCGCCGCCTCTACCACCAGTCCCTCCAGCCGGTGGGTAAGAAGGATAGAGCCAAGAGGCACAGGTAAGTGTTCCCGGGGCCAGTCGGGCGGCCCCACGTGCCGGCCGCGTTTCCACTGCGCGGTCCTCGCCTCCAGGGCCCCCTCCTCCCCAGGGGGTAGGGGGAGTCCTTGTGCCCGGCACCCCCTCCCACCCGCCAGCCTGCTCGCCCCGAGCCCGGCCCGGGAGCCCCGAGCTCCCGGAGCCGCAGCGCCCACTCGGGGCGAGCCGCGAGCACTCACCATTATGCTCTTGCATGCTCGACAGCGACCAGAGCAGCAGCGCCACCAAGGCCAGGAAGCAGAGCTGGCTCAGCAGAAGGTCCCTCCGGCGGCTCCGGCGACGCTCGCGGTCCTCGTCGTCGGGCGACGGCATCCTCGGGCGGCAGGGCAGCGGCCCCGGCAGGCGGCGGCCGCTCCTGTCGCGGGCGGCCGCGGCGGGGACGGCGGCGGGAGGCAACCCTGCGCGCTGCAGCCGCGCGTCCTCGCTGCGCTCCCGCTCGGCCGCCGCCGCCTCCTCTTCCTCTTCCCCGCCGCTGCCGGGCTCGTCGTCTTCGTCCTCGTCGTCGCTGTCGCTCAGTCCCTCTTCGCCCTCCTCCTCCTCCTCCTCGCCGCTGGCCCGCGCCGCCGCCTCCCGGCGCTCGGGGTCCCTCTCCTCCTCGCGCGCCATGGCTCCCACGCTCGGCGTCCGCGCTCGGCCTCGGGCGGCGGCGCGGCGGGGGCGGCGGGGGCGGCCGGGAGGCGGGGGCGGCGGCGGCCTAGGAGGAGGAGCGGGGAAGGACCGGCGGGAGGAGGGCCCGCCGCTGGCCAACTCCGCCGGCTGGCGAGGCCACCCGGGCTGGCTCCGGCCTCGCCGGCTGCGGGAGCGCGTCGCGGGGCCGCCCGCCCCCTCACTCCATGGTCCGCGCGCGGGGAGCGGGGAGCCGGGGCGAGCGGGGCCGGGGCGCGTCGGGAGCACGGGCGAGGCGGGAGCACGGGCGAGGCGGGAGCACGAGCGGCGCTGCTCCCGCAGCCTGCGGCGGCGCGGCGGCTCGGGCTCGGGCTCGGGCTCGGGCGCGGGCGGGGGGCAGTGCCGGGGACGCAGCCCGCGCTGGCCGGCGCGGCGGAGAGGGGGCGCGTGGGGAGGAGACTGAGCTGGGGAGGCAGCCCGGTCCGCGATCCTTCGGCCCCGCGGCCGGGGGGGAGGGGGCTAGCGCAGAAGGCCCCCTCTTGGGGAGCACGCCACCGGGAGGCGGATCTCCGGGTTGAAGGAATCGCCCGAAACTTCGGAGAAACCGAGGGTCTCTTCAGCCCCCTCCCCACCCTCTGCCCTGAGCGGAGAGGCCGCGAGTGCGCTCGGCTGCGCGCGCCCAGCCCTTGGCCGCGCCTCCTCCCGCGGGCCTCCTGGGTTTCCCTCCGCCCGCTTGTGGGGTTCCCCTGCGCGCCAGGCTCTGGACCTGGAACGGGACTCTCTGGAAGCTCTTGGCTCACTGGGGTGTCCTGGCTCCCCCCGCTGGCCCTGCTCACACTTCACTCCCGGATCGCACTGGACCCAACCCAATGCTGTGGCTGAAGGAAGGGGGGGGCACCTGGCACTGTCCTTGAGTGAGGTGGCCTAAGGGTCCCTAGCAGGGTCACAGCAAAAGACAAAGCAAACCTTCAAAGGTGGCTTCCTTTCCACAGAGGGACCATTTCACTCACAGAGACTCTATAGAAGACTCTTGCTTCTTGGGCATGTCATTTATTTACTCCTGTTCTCAGCTTGGCATTTTTCCCAGACACACAGATCACCTTCCCTATGATGCCAGTGTGGTTGTTCTTTTGCTTTGGTTCCCAGGTACTGAGGAGGATTTAAAACTATGTAAGTTCCTCCAGGCTGGAGTGTGTGGGGGGAATTCTCCAGTGGTGTTACCTCCCTCAAACGTTCAGAGACACAGAAATGGAAGGTTAGGAGTGCAGAACATGCTGTCTTTCCTTCAGCTAACTAAGGAAGACACTCAAATAGTGTAAATAGGAAAAATAAAAGTGAATGAGGAAAGCTGGAACTAATTGGGCCGGGGCACAAACACGAGCTCAGGGGGGAAATGGCCACAGGCACCAGAAATTGTGTAATCTGGTGATGGAAGAGGTATCTGAGAGGGAGCAGGGAGGAGAGACCAGGAACTGGCGATTCCCTAGAAATCCTCCCAGCACCTGCAGTGAGTGAGAGGAGGAAGCAGGGCAGGAGGGAGAGACAGGGACAGAGAGCTCACTCCTTTGGCACATAGAAATGACTTTTGAGTTAATATCTGTTGTGACATTTCAGAGCAAAGAGGGTATTGGAGTAAAACAAAGACCTCTGAGCAGCCAATCACCACCCAGGAAGAAAAATTGGGAAATCTGTTCCCCAGCCTGATAGCATCTTCAGCAAGTGGGTCCCTCACCACAACCCCCCTCCCTGCGCCTCCCCCACCTGCCCCCCCCCACCAGCTCACCCGGAGGCAATGGCTTTTCTGCAGGAAGGAGAAGGAAGGCTTCTTCCTGGGTCAGGGAAGACCCTCTTCTCCAACAGGCAAACTTGGGGGGTGGGGGGACAGCAGACTCCTAAGTCTTCCGTCAGCCCTGGGGAAGGGAGGCAGACCTCAGTGGGCTCCTCTTCCAAGGAAAACAGCTATTTCTGTCCTACTTGTTCTTTCCTGGTTTTTAGAAACCCCCCCCCTTCCCAAAATTGAATTTTGTTAGAAGCAGGAGCTGAAATAATAATGTGCTACTTATCTTTCACCATCAGGATCGTCATCAATCCTGAGGTAGCTTTTGCCTTTTATTTCTTAATCTGTTTGCACATTTTTGTGCAGGGAGCCGTAGAGAGAAAATTCCAGGCCCTGTTATGTCAGTCTGAGGATTAGCGTGCTTGGAAAGAGAGGCATCAGCCCGAGATGCGCTGGGGCCTTCACCCTTCCAGGGATGAGCCAGGCACCTCCCCACCCAGGGCTAGGTGCCGGGGGTCACCATGCGTGCCCTGTTTTTACCTCCCACCCACATTCCAGTTGCAGTTCTGTGTAAAGACATTGGGCCTGATGCGGGGGCACAGAAGTGATTCATCTTTCTCCTAGCTCTGCCTTTATAACAAAGAATTAAAAGCCTCCCATGACCACATTCGCTGATGCTCAGCCCAGGAGAGCTCTTACATCAGCCAGTGAGTGGGGCGTTATCTGCACCCAGACAACCAGCAGCTTCTGGGCCCTCCTGTGTTCCTTCCAGGCCTCCAGCCTCCCCTCGCCCACAGCACCCAGCCCTGACAGAGCAGTTTCCACAACAAAGCAAGGTCCTATCTCCGTAACACCAAACAACGCCAGATGTGTCAGACAAGCCACTGAATGAGAAGGAAGGATGGGAAGAAACGAGAAAATCAGAAGCCACTTTGCTGGCTGAGGTACTCACCAGGGCTGCACCTTAATGCAGGGAGACGTGGCCCAAGCAAAAAGGAAAGAGCACCAGAGGTTCACAGAAAACCTTTTTGCATCTCTTTTACTTTATTAAGTAAACTTACTTACTTTAAGTAAGCTCTACACCCAATGCGGAGCTGAAAACACGACCTGAGATCAAGAGCCGCATGCTCTACAGACTGAGCCAGCCAGGCACCCCTCACAGAAAACTTTTAAGACAATAAAGCCAAATGTTGGTGGGTGGGGGGAATAAAAGGGAGAGGCTCTTCCATGGAATGTTTCTGGAACAGTCCTCAGGTACAGTACTCCTTCCACGTTCCCCAGGCCTCCTGCCACCGCCTGACCTTGGTAAACTACAGCACTGACCGAATTGACCTGCTGCCCTTGACCGTGCTGCCACCCAGATTTGGACAAAACCCCAGCTTCATCCTGGAAAGCCTGACTCTTGTTTCCCTCCCCATTCTTAAAAACTGCCTTTCTTGAGAAAGCCAGTAAAACTGCTCCTTTAGACTCTTTCTGAGCTGTCAGCATTTTGAAGAACACAAAATAATCACTCCTGTATGTGTGTGAGTCCACATTGCACGTCCTGAGGCATTTGAGAGCACCCTGTCTGCAAGGTGGGGCTCACGTTATTTTAAGTGTTCAGTTTACAACTGGAGTTAAAAGAAACTGCTCATCTTATGATAGTTTCCAATTTTTTATTTTCCTTTTGCCCAACTGTCTGCATTTGTTTGGCAATTTGAACTCGCTACATAGATATGGCTGTAGATTTTTTTCTTCCCTGGTGGACTGCCCATCATCTTTTTTTTTTCTTAAGATTTATTTATTTATTTGAGAAAGAGAATGAGAGAGCACATGCGTGCGAGCAGGAGGTGCAGAAGGAAAGGGAGAGAGATTATCAAGCAGATTCTGAGCTGAGTGCAGAGTGCAGAGCCTGACATGGGGTTCAATCCCACAACCCTGAGATGACCTGAGCTGAAACCAAGAGTCAGATGCTTAACTGACTACACCACCCATCATCTTTTTTTAAAAAGTAGGTATCATAGGGCGCCTGGGTGGCTCAGTTGGTTAAGCGACTGCCTTCGGCTCAGGTCATGATCCTGGAGTCCCTGGATAGAGTCCCGCATCAGGCTCCCTGCTCGGCAGGGAGTCTGCTTCTCCCTCTGACCCTCCCCCCTCTCATGTGCTCTCTCTCATTCTCTCTCAAATAAATAAATAAAATCTTAAAAAAATAAATTAAAAAAGTAGGTATCATAGTATACATACAGTAAAATGCATGCAGCTTAAGCATCGAGCTCAATGATTGTATGTATGTATGTACACCCTATGTGGGTTCCAGATCACGACTTAGAACAATTCCTGATCATCGCCCCCCCACCTCAGAAGGCTCTTTGTGCCAACCCTCCAGCAGGCAATAACCCTCTGAAAATAACCCCTTGCAGGTCATTGTTGCCTGTCCTTGAACTTCAGGTAAATGGATGCTTGCTTCTGTGGGATCTGTCCACACTGGTGTGTAGAGCTGTGATTTATTTTTTTTTTTTTCATGCTGCGTAGGTGTGGATTGTTTTTACCTGATGCTTCAGTTCCCTTCCAAGTTTAATGTAAGCCCAGAATAAGCAAACCACTGCCTCTGGATCAGAGACAAATGACCTCCCAGATTGGCTGTTTTATAAGGAACTTCAACTGAAATTGAAATAGTCACAGGCTGCTTCTCAAACTGGTTACACTACCCCAGGGTAACTGCAGGACAACAGGTCAACCAGCAAACTTTGGGGGTCGACCTTTTAAAGCCTAAAAGAAGCCCTCATATGTGCATAAGATTTGGACACAGCTTTGAATGGAAAAAGCACAACCCATTTCTTATGCATTTTTTCCACCCTCTTTTTCTTCTAAATGAGAGTTAAGTAGAATAGGTACCATCAGGAGAGATTCCCACCCAGTCCTTGCAGAGCCATGGTGCAGCCTTTCAATCAAATGTCAGTGGACTTAGAAAGTACAAGAGAGCTTGTTAGAAATGTCAGTTCCCAGCCCCAGCCTGGAAGTCTGCAGTATGCACAATTTCCCAGGGGTTCTTCTGTGTTAAGGTTTGAGATCTGCTGTTCTAGGGAATACAGCTTGGCATGTATTTTTGGTGGATCCTGGAGGGCAAATCTAAAGATGAAAAATATATTACCTTGAGCCTTTTTGTCAATATTTTTAATTGACTCGTTTAGGATGTTTGGAAGAAATAAAGACAGGGTACACGAACACACCCTATAGCTCTATGGCTATATCTATCTTCTGTTTCACACAAGTGGTATCAAAAATAAAAGTGACTCCTATGGGGACACCTGGCTGGCTTAGTTGGTTAAGCGTCTGACTCTTGATTTCAGCTCAGGTCATGATCTCAGGGTCCTGCGATCAAGCCCCGTATTGGACTCCATGCTCAGCCCAGAGTCTGTTTGAGATTCTCTCTCCCTCTCCCTCTGCCCCTCTCCACCGCACACTCGTTTGCTCTCTCTCTCAAAAAAAATTTTTTTTTTTCCAAAAGAAAACACGTAAACCCCACTAGTTTTATTTGGAAACTTCGGCACACAGGACACTGAGTACAGCAGGGAGGGCCCTGAGGGCTTATTTCTGTTAACATATCAATACTAGGCTTAGGAATCCCATGTTTTTAATCAAGAAAATAGATCTATAAAATGTTTTATCATTTTTGCATTTCAAGACCTCATCCTGATAAATATGGTATACATCTTAAGTAGCAAAATCATCCTGTATTATGAATAGTGTTAGGTCTTTTTTGTCAAGTTAAGCAAAATCGTATGTGTCTCTGGATAGGCAAATAGATGTCAAAATATAAATAGATATAAATAT